GGTGCCACCCTGGTGCTGTCCCCTATGTCCCCAATGTCCCCCCCGGTGTCCCCAGACCCCTCCCAAGTCCCCAGACCCCTCCCAAATGTCCCCAGACCCCTCCCCAGTGTCCTCAGACCCCTCCTAAGTGTCCCCAGACCCTCCGGGTGCCACCCTGGCGATGTCCCCAGTGTCCCCAATGTCCCCCCAAGTGTCCCCAGACCCCTCAAAAGTGTCCCCAGACCCCTCCCAAGTGTCCCCAGGCCTCCCCAATTGTCCCCAATCCCATCCCAAGTGTCCCCAGACCCTCCGGGTGCCACCCTGGTGCTGTCCCCAATGTCCCCAATGTCCCCCCCGGTGTCCCCAGACCCCTCCCAAGTGTCCCCAGACCCCTCCCCAGTGTCCCCAACCCCTCCCCGGTGTCCCCAGACCCTCCAGGTGCCACCCTGGCGCTGTCCCCAATGTCCCCCCAAGTGTCCCCAGACCCCTCCCAAGTGTCCTCAGACCCCTCCCCAGTGTCCCCAACCCCTCCCAAGTGTCCCCAGACCCCTCCCCAGTGTCCCCGATGTCCCCAATGTCCCCCCCGGAGTCCCCAGACCCCTCCCCAGTGTCCCCAGACCCCCCGGGTGCCACCCTGGCGCTGTCCCCAGTGTCCCCCGCGGTGTCCCCCGGCAGCACATCGTGTCCCACCTGCGCTCGCTGGGGGCCGGCTGGCACCTGGAGCTGGACACCTTCACTGCGGCCACCCCCCGCGGCCAGGTGACGTTCAGCAGCGTGGTGGCCACGGCGGCGCCGGTGGCCGCGCGGCGCCTGGCGCTGGCCTGTCACTACGACACCAAGGTGGTGGCCTCGGGGACATTCGTGGGTGCCACCGACGCCGCCGTGCCCTGCGCGCTCCTGCTGGAGCTGGCCACGGCGCTGGACACGCACCTGCGGCGGAGGGAAACACAGGTGAGCGCGGTGGGGTACAGCCGGACAGGTGTGTGACAGGTGTGTGTGACAGGTGTGTGACAGGTGTGTGACAGGTGTGTGTGACAGGTGTGTGTGACAGGTGTGTGTGACAGGTGTGTGACAGGTGTGTGTGTGACAGGTGTGTGTGACAGGTGTGTGACAGGTGTGTGTGACAGGTGTGTGACAGGTGTGTGACAGGTGTGTGTGACAGGTGTGTCCCCTCAGGACCCCCCGCTGACGCTGCAGTTGTGTGTGTGACAGGTGACAGGTGTGACAGGTGACAGGTGTGACAGGTGTGTATGACAGGTGTGTATGACAGGTGTGACAGGTGACAGGTGTGACAGGTGTGTCCCCTCAGGACCCCCCGCTGACGCTGCAGTTGTGTGTATGACAGGTGACAGGTGACAGGTGACAGGTGTGACAGCTGACAGGTGACAGGTGTGACAGGTGTGTCCCCTCAGGACCCCCCGCTGACGCTGCAGTTGTGTGTATGACAGGTGACAGGTGACAGGTGTGACAGGTGACAGGTGTGACAGGTGTGTCCCCTCAGGACCCCCCGCTGACGCTGCAGTTGTGTGTATGACAGGTGACAGGTGACAGGTGTGACAGGTGACAGGTGTGACAGGTGTGTCCCCTCAGGACCCCCCGCTGACGCTGCAGTTGCTGTTCCTGGACGGGGAGGAGGCGTTCGGGGAATGGAGCGACAGCGATTCGCTCTACGGGGCGCGACACCTGGCGGCCAGCATGGCGGCACGGCGTCACCCGGCGGGGTCACAGCTCGCCGCCATGGTCAGTGTCACACACCGGGGACACCGCCATGGTCAGTGACACTGGGGACACCCGGCGGGGTCAGAGGTCACCAATGGTCAGTGACATTGGGGACACCCCATGGGGTCAGTGACACTGGGGACACCCCGTGGGGTCAGAGGTCACTACCATGGTCAGTGACACTGGGGACACTGCCATGGTCAGTGTCACACATTGGGGACACCCCACGGGGTCAGTGACACTGCAGTGGTGACACTGGGGACACCCCGTGGGGTCAGAGGTCACCAATGGTCAGTGACACTGGGGACACTCCATGGTCAGTGTCACACATTGGGGACACCCCACGGGGTCAGTGACACTGCAGTGGTGACACTGGGGACACCCCGTGGGGTCAGAGGTCACCAATGGTCAGTGACACTGGGGACACTCCATGGTCAGTGTCACACACTGAGGACACCCCACGGGGTCAGTGACACTGCAGTGGTGACACTGGGGACACCCCGTGGGGTCAGAGGTCACCAATGGTCAGTGACACTGGGGACACTCCATGGTCAGTGTCACACACTGAGGACACCCCACGGGGTCAGTGACACTGCAGTGGTGACACCGGCGTCACTCCACGGGGTCAGTGTCACACACTGAGGACACCCCGTGGGGTCAGAGGTCACCGCCATGGTCAGTGACTCCGGGGACAGCCCATGGGGTCAGTGACACACATTGGGGACACCCTACAGAGTCAGTGACACTGGGGACACCCCGTGGGGTCAGAGGTCACCGCCATGGTCGGTGACACAGGGTGGACACTGTCCCTGTGTTCCTGTCCCCATGGTGGTGTCCCCACGGTGTCCCTGTGTGTCCCCACGATGTCCCCAAGTGTCCCCAAGTGTCCCCATGTGTCCCCAGAGCCTGCTGGTGCTGCTGGACCTGCTGGGTGGCCCCATGGCAGTGTCCCCGTGGCAGTGTCCCCGTGTGTCCCCACATGTCCCCACGTGTCCCCACGTGTTCCCACGATGTCCCCAGGTGTCCCCATGTGTCCCCAGAGCCTGCTGGTGCTGCTGGACCTGCTGGGTGGCCCCATGGCAGTGTCCCCACATGTCCCCACGATGTCCCCGTGTGTCCCCATGATGTCCCCACGATGTCCCCACGATGTCCCCATGTGTCCCCAGAGCCTGCTGGTGCTGCTGGACCTGCTGGGTGGCCCCAGCCCCGCCATCCACAGCCACTTCTCCCGGACCCACCACTGGTTCCTGCGCCTCGTCACCATCGGTGCGGCACCGCGGGGACAGCGATGGGGACAGTGGGGACAGGGCTGGGGGCAGCGATGGGGGCAGCGATGGGGACAGGGATGGGGACAGTGGGGACAGGGATGGGGACAGGGCTGGTGACAGGGCTGGTGACAGCGGGGACAGGGATGGGGACAGGGCTGGTGACAGCGGGGACAGGGCTGGTGACAGGGCTGGTGACAGCGGGGACAGGGATGGGGACAGGGCTGGGGACAGGGCTGGGGACAGCGATGGGGACAGTGATGGGGACAGTGATGGGGACAGTGGGGACAGGGATGGGGACAGGGATGGGGACAGTGGGGACAGCGATGGGGACAGTGGGGACAGGGATGGGGACAGGGATGGGGACAGCAGGGACAGGGATGGGGACAGGGCTGGTGACAGGGCTGGTGACAGCGGGGACAGGGATGGGGACAGGGCTGGGGACAGGGCTGGGGACAGCGATGGGGACAGTGATGGGGACAGTGATGGGGACAGTGGGGACAGGGATGGGGACAGGGATGGGGACAGTGGGGACAGCGATGGGGACAGTGGGGACAGGGATGGGGACAGGGATGGGGACAGCAGGGACAGGGATGGGGACAGGGCTGGTGACAGGGCTGGGGACAGGGATGGGGACAGCGATGGGGACAGCGGGGACAGGGATGGGGACAGGGATGGGGACAGTGGGGACAGGGATGGGGACAGTGGGGACAGGGCTGGTGACAGGGATGGGGACAGCGATGGGGACAGGGATGGGGACAGCGCTGGTGACACGGTTGAGGGGCAGGAACAAGGAGATGGGACAAGGACAGGGGCACCGTGGGGACAGTGAGGGGACGGGGACAGTGAGGACACTGAGGGACCGAGGGACGGCGTCGGGAGGTGGGACGGGGTGGCAGCATGTCCTGTGTCCCCGTGTCCCCAATGATGTTCCCGTGTCCCCGATGATGTCCCCAATGATGTCCCCATGTCCCCAATGATATCCCCATGTCCCCAGTGATGTCCCCAATGTCCCCAGTGTCCCCAATGTCCCCTCAGAGCAGCGCCTGCGCCGCCTGGCTCTCCTGCACTCTGCTGCCCCTGTGATGTCCCCATGTCCCCAATGATGTCCCCGTGTCCCCAATGATGTCCCAATGTCCCCAATGATGTCCCCAATGTCTCCAATGTCCCCTCAGAGCAGCGCCTGCGCCGCCTGGCTCTCCTGCACTCCATGTCCCCAATGTCCCCAGTGTCCCCAATGTCCCCAATGTCCCCAGTGTCCCCAATGTCCCCAGTGTCCCCAGTGTCCCCAGTGTCCCCAATGTCCCCTCAGAGCAGCGCCTGCGCCGCCTGGCTCTCCTGCACTCCATGTCCCCAGTGTCCCCAATGTCCCCAGTGTCCCCAGTGTCCCCAATGTCCCCAGTGTCCCCAATGTCCCCTCAGAGCAGCGCCTGCGCCGCCTGGCTCTCCTGCACTCCATGTCCCCAGTGTCCCCAATGTCCCCAGTGTCCCCAATGTCCCCAGTGTCCCCAATGTCCCCTCAGAGCAGCGCCTGCGCCGCCTGGCTCTCCTGCACTCCATGTCCCCAGTGTCCCCAATGTCCCCAGTGTCCCCAATGTCCCCTCAGAGCAGCGCCTGCGCCGCCTGGCTCTCCTGCACTCCGCTGCCCCGGATCCGCCGTTCTTCCGTCTCAGCCCCGCCCCGGGGCCCGTCGAGGACGATCACGTGCCCTTCCTGCAGAGAGGTGACTGTCCCCAATGTCACCTGTGTCCCCACCCTGTCCCCAGTGCCACCTGCGTCACCCGTGTCCCCAGTGCCAGCAGTGTCCCCAGTGTCACCAATGTCATCAGTGTCACCCGTGTCCCCAGTGTCACCAGTGTCACCCGTGTCCCCAGTGTCACCTGTGTCCCCAGTGTCCCCACCCTGTCCCCAGTGTCCCCTGGTGTCCTCCATGACGCCCCTGTCTCCGCAAGTGTCCCCCTCCCGTGTCCCTGATGTCCCCCTGATGTCCCCCCGTGTCCCTGATGTCCCCCGATGTCCCCCTGATGACCCCTGGTGTCCCCGATGTCCCTCTGATGTCCCCATGTCCCCGTGTCCCTGATGTCCCCGCTGTCTCCGGTGTCCCCAGATGTCCCTCTGCTGTCCCCATGTCCCCAGATGTCCCTGATGTCCCTGCTGTCCCCAGTGTCCCCAGATGTCCCCGATGTCCCCAATGTCCCCCCAGGTGTCCCCACAGGTGTCCCAGTGCTGCACCTGATCCCGACGCCGTTCCCGCGGGTGTCCCCCCACCGTGTCCCTGATGTCCCCTGGTGTCCCCCTGATGTCCCCCTGATGTCCCCGTGTCCCTCTGTGTGTCCCTGATGTCCCCAGATGTCCCCAATGTCCCCCCCGGGTGTCCCCGCAGGTGTCCCAGTGCTGCACCTGATCCCGACGCCGTTCCCGCGGGTGTGGCACACGCCGGGGGACACCGAGGACAATCTGCACCCCCCGACCGTGCAGGACCTGGCCAAGGTCCTGGTGGTCTTCGTGGCCGAGTTCCTGCAGCTCTGACCCCCCCCCGGCCCGGGGACCCCCCAAAAACCCCAAATAAACCCCAAAAAACACCAAAATTCCCATTTATTGCCCAAATCTGGGGGCTCCAGAGGGGTCACACCTGGAGGGGACAAAAATCGGGGGTCTCAGGGGGGGATTTGGGGGTCTCAGGGGGGATTTGGGGGTCCCGGGGGGGGATTTGGGGGTCCCTGGGGGGGGATTTGGGGGTCTCAGGGGGGGATTTGGGGATCTCAGGGGGGATTTGGGGGTCTCAGGGGGGGATTTGGGGGTCCCGGGGGGGGA